AGGCTAGAAACACATGCTCAAACATGAGGCATACAAGACTAGTTTGCAAAATTTACACTACAAGTGTATAAACCATGCATGGAATGACCAAGATAGGCAAAAACAGTGGCATATGACAGAAAAATAACCATAAATACCAGCTAAGACATGGCCAACATGAACTTAACAAATGTGCTCACATATGAGGCAAATATGACAAGTATTGAAGACAATAAGGAGAGGAGATGGCCCTCCCCTTCTTAGGACCTCAAAACACCATCCCCTCACTGAAATCCCTTTGGATTTCAGTGGTGAGAAGGCTAATACAACAAAGCAAGTAAGGCTTAAAGAAAAAGACACCAAAAGGGACCAAAAGAGACCTAAGAGGGGGATTTCGACCCCCAATGCCAAAACACCCTTAATGACAATTCTTAAGCATGAAAATATAAGACTTTTTTTAGTTATACACAAAGCTCAAATCAATATGCAAGATAGGTCAAAAGCCAATGCAAGATTGGGGAAACTAAAGTGAAAGTCTTACCCTTGAAGAACACTTCAAGAACAGTTGGTCCAGCCACACTCTACTGAGCAAAATCAGTCCAAAATCTCAAAAAACAACCCTCAATGCCTCTCAATCTCGGAGCAAGGTGTAATGGTGTGTGTATTAGTGCAAAAGTAAGGTCAAAATGCACTTTTAGGCCAAGAAAACACACACAAGGGAGGAGAGAGAGGGAAAAATATAGAGAGAGAGTGTGTGTATAAGATGTATATGTATATAAGCTCTGGTTTTTATGTTCAAAAAACTCTAACCCCAACAATGGAAGAAGAGAGGTGCTTAAATAGGCAAAGGGCAATGACTTAAGCTTCTCAAGGAAGCTAAATGAAAGGGGCAAAGGGGGCAAGGAGGTCAAGGCTTCTTGAGGAAACTAAGACAGCTGGCCAAGCTTCTTGAGGAAGCTTTGACCAAAGGGTCAAGCTTCCTTAAGAAGCTTTGACCAAAAGGGGGCAAAAGGGGCAAAACAGCAACTTCATGCACGGGGAGTAGTGTTGGTGCATTCCAGCTGGCACAGCTGGCATGCACCAAGTCTGAAGGGTGCAAAAAGGTCACACCGGTCAGCAAAAAAAGTCACCGGCCAGAGAAAAGTGCCGGTCGGCAAAATATAATGCCGACCGGCCATTGGTTTCAAGAAACCATTGCCGGTGGCACCAATAAACGGCCGGTGGTGTAAGGGGACAGCCGGTGGGGTGTGGGAATGGCCAACGAGCCATTCCCTGCCTCTCAAAGCAAAAATACAAGTGTTTGGTGCAAAACCAGACACCGAAAAGTCGAGTCGAGAGATCCTGAGGCGAGGCGCGCAACCGAGACCTCTGGGAACTCGGGACGAACACAAGCACAGATGATCACCGAGTGTTCCAACGGTGACGTCTAAGTCTTGAGGACGGTCAAAAATGGGGTGTCTACAGAGATTTAGAATCCTTCAGATGGACAGGGATTACAACAGTTGATTGTGAAGTACCGGGTCAATTTTAGTCCCATTTTATCTTTATTCCCTGACGTAGTCCCATTTTACGTGCTCTATGTTGTGAAGGGAGCAAATGAAAAAGATTTTACTCTGGTTTTACTTGTTCCAGGTAAAGTTATTTTATTTTGTTATCAGGTGTTTTTCTTGAGGTGTCTTCCAACACTCGCTATCAAATCCTAAATGGGCTGGTGCATATGGTTGAAGCATCTCCTTTGGCAAAGCGGGTCCCACCTGTTGCAATGGCTTTTACTGTGGGAGTGCGATTTGCCAATAATATCTATAGTGGAATGCAATTTGTAGATTGGGCGAAATGGAGTGGCGTGCAATAGCATCATCTCAACTCCACTTAAGAGTTTTGGATCTTCAACTCTTATAAGCTTCCTCAGTCTCAAGAACAAACTATATTTCAGATTCTCAAGAACACAATTAGATTTTAGATTGGTTATGGTGGTTATGCCTTTTTACATAGGTTGTGTATGGAAACAACCTCTATGCACACGGAAGAAGGCTGTGCACCTGACAGACCAGAGCAGTGGAGGGAACTTGGTGCTCTGAGCTGTTAAGAAGTCGCGTCTATTGCTAGCCTTCATGTATCACATAGGTGCAAAAGTGAAGATGTGAGGTCCGGGTGAGTCCTTAATAAAGCATGCATTTTTTGTTTAGGGGATTGTTGTATATTAATGGAATTTGTTGTTTTTTGTGGTATTATTGACATAAAAATTTTAATTATTTTGCTTTATTCTTCTAAGGGAAGCAAGACATTGATCTGTGTCCTGTTTTGACTTCTATTATACATTAACTCAAGTATCACTTAGATTGTTCTGATTGCCAAACTTTTGATTGTGCTTTATGACAATTTTTTTCTTCTGGTCTTAGTTTAAAACAGTTTGTCCTAATTTGTGTACTGACTTTTTTTTTCCTTAAAACTCTGCTGCCTTGAATTCTGACTTTGTGCCTTAAAATTCTGCTGGGTTAGTTTATCACTCCAGATATGAATTTCAGAATACAAATTAAAGGGTACTCATGCTAATAACTCATGAATACTCATGTTAATAACTCATGTTTAAAGAGTACTCATGTTAAAAATTAAAGAGTATTCATGAATTTCAAGTTGACTGATTTCCTGTTTTTTACACCGTGCCTTGAGTAAAAATTAAAGAGTACTCATGTTAATAACTCATGCTAAGAGAAAGACAAAGAAAGTGTTGTTGAATGAATTTGACTTCCTGTAGTCATCAAATTCTGAAATCACAAAATCAAATTTGACTTCTTATAGTCATCAAATTCTGAAATCACAAAATCCAATTTGACTTCCTGTAGTCATGAAATTCTGAAATCAAATTTGACTTCCTGTAGTCATCGAGTAAAATAATAACAATTTGAACACAATGGAACACACGATGTAACTCAGAAAATTTCAGAATGATCTTTCATGATCTTTCTCTAGCTGCAAAGTGATCTGGTTGGTGTAAGACTCATCAAATGCTACACATGATCTTTTATATATAACAATTTGATTTCCTCTATAGTGCTAAAATAACTCATGTTAATAACTCATGCTAAAATAAAGGAAACAGAATTTCGATATCTCATGTTAATTTCAGAATTTCAATAACTCATGTGAGTCCTTGCAAGCTATCTCCTTATTCTCACCTTCATTGACATCTACATATATTGACTCTTTGTTGATTTCAGAATTTTTTTCCGAATTATCTTGATTACTCTTTGTTGTATTTTTTTTAGTCAGATACAATGTGTTATCTCCTCTATTATTGAGTTTTCCTCTATTATTGTGTTCCTTTATTCCTCTAGTCAAATACATTGTGTTCCTTTATTCCTTTACATTTTGTATATGATCTCATTTTATTGGGTTTGTTTTTGGCCCAAGGTTCTGTCTGTTTTTGGCTGTCTTCGGCTCCCTTCGAACTCCCACTCGCAAGGTAAGACTTCGAACTCCTTGTTGTGTTTCTCCCTTTTTGAATTCTGAATTTTGAATATTTTTAATTTTGAATCCTGAATTTTGGCCATAAATTCACCTAAATTCTGCTCCCTTCGGCTGGATAGAAAATTCCAGATTGATTGATTACACTGGCAGATAGATAGCTATACTTCTTCTAACTGATAGCTATACGTCTTCTTCTTCTAAAATTATACATACTACTAACCGAAATTTGTTAAAATTATATATGTTTGTAGCTTGAATTCTGAATTTAGGTGATAGTTATATTCTGCTGTCTTCGGCTCCCTTCGAACTCCCACTCTTGAATTCTGACCACACTGCCCGCCTAGTAATCAGCTGGAAAAGCACTGGTAGAATAGATGCCCTCTAGCTAACCTGCAATAAAAAGAGAAGTCTCCAGCGGTGGTTTAACCACCCAGGGGCACTCCGACGATCAAGTCAGTATATCTCTCAAAGATAATCAAGTGCTAAACTCACAAGCTTAAGCATAAAAAGCATACCTTTGACCCATGGGGGTGCCTCTCTTTTATAGCCAACATAAACCTAGTCCCACTAGAAGCCTGACTTCTATGGACTCCCATTCAGTGCTTACTTTGGATTTCACAAGAGATAAAGATAAACTCCCTAAAAGCTTTATCCTTATCTTAGCAAAGTTCCCTCTTTACTATAGGACTCTTGCCCCTTATCCATTTATCTCGGATTCCGATATCTTCGGAGATAACCTCAGCCTTGCCGAGATAACCTCGGTGTCACAACCAGGACACGTGGCACCTCGGCTGACACGTCGGCGTCACCTTGCCACGTGTTGGTATTCAGAAAATATATCCCCACAACTGCCCCCTGGGCTGGGCTTCTCCTTGTTTGCCTTTGGCTCTTGCCTTTGGCTGGGCTTCTCCTTGTTTGCTTGGACATCGTTCATCTTGGCTCAAGGGAGTCCGTTGTTTGATGGATTCTGGCGTGAATTCGGCCACGAAGTCGGCCAAAACTTGGCCTTTAATTGCTGTTCTCGGCCTGAACTCCAGGTCGTACTGTCCCAAGGCCACTGCCCATCTTGCTATTCTTCCAATTAAGTCTCCTTGTTGTAACAAGGACTTCAGTGGGTGCTCTGTTAGCACTATAATTTTGTGCGCTTGAAAGTAATGGTTCATCTTTTTTGAAGCCATTACTAAAGCTAGTGCCAATTTTTCCAAGGGTAGATACATTGTTTCTGCATCGGCTAAGGTTTTGCTTACATAGTAAACAGCCCTTTGCTCCCCTTTTTCTTCACGAATTAATACCGCACTTATTGCATGTTCTGAAACGGCTAAGTACAAAAACAGTTCTTCTCCAGGTTCAGGTGTTGAGAGGACTAGAGCCGTGGTCAGATATTTCTTCAGGTCGGCCAAGGCGGCTTCACATTCCTCAGTCCATAAGAAGTCCGTGGCCTTCTTTACCAGGTTGAAGAAAGGTTTACATTTGTCTGAGCTTCGGCTTATGAACCTGTTTAGGGTTGCGGCCCTTCCAGTAAGCATCTGAACCTGTTTTGCCGACGTCGAGCTTTTCAGCTCTAGAATGGCCTTGATTTGATCTGGGCTGGCCTCAATGCCCTTTCTTATTACCAGGTACCCTAAAAATTTACCTGATCCAACTCCAAACGCGCACTTCGACACGTTAAGTCGAAGCCGGTATGTTTTGAGTATATCAAAGACTTCTTTTAGGTCGGTAAGATGGCCCTTAGGTTCCTTGGTCTTCACGACCATGTCGTCGATGTAGACTTCTACTGTTTGGCCAATCAGGTTTTTGAACATCTTGGTTACCAACCTTTGGTAAGTTGCTCCTATGTTTTTTAACCCAAAAGGCATTACCTTGTAACAATACAGCCCTTTCGGGGTGATAAACGCTGTCTTTTCCTCGTCTGGGGGGTACATGGCTATCTGGTGGTATCCTTTGTAAGCGTCCAGGAAGCTCATCCTTCCATGTCCAGATATGGCGTCTACCAACTGGTCAATCTTGGGTAAAGAAAAGCTGTCTTTGGGACAAGCTTTGTTCAGGCTTATAAAATCTACGCAGACCCTCCATTTACCGTTCTTCTTCTTCTTTACCACTACTGTGTTGAATAGCCATGTCGGGTAATGAACTTCTCGGATGGCCCTGGCCTCCAGAAGTTTGTCCACTTCTTCCTCTACTGCTTCGACATGCATCAACGTCAATCTTCTGGCTCGTTGAATCATAGGTTTTGCCGACCTGTCGACATTCAGTCTGTGGCAAGTGACCTCGGGGTCGATGCCAGGCATTTCGTAAGGTGTCCAGGCGAACACCTCATTGTTGGCTCTTAGAAAAGTCTCCAACTCTTTTTCCTCTTCTTCGGCTAAGCCCAAGTTGAGAAAAAAGAAGTGTTCTCCATCCCCATCCTGGACGAGGATTTTCTTTAGCGCCTCTTCGCTCTTCTCGGCTGGTTCTTTGTCGACGTCTTCTAGGACTTCCACGTCCTCATCTTCAATTTCTGCTTTTTCTGGCTCTTGAATGTTGCAGGTGGATTTCATTGCTGCTATGGAGCAATTCTTTGCCTGTAGCTAATCGCCCCTAACTTCCTCTATCCCATGCTCTGTTGGGAATCGCAGTAGTTGATGCAATGTTGAGGGAATTGCCCCCATTGCATGCAACCATGGCCTTCCCAAGATGATGTTGTAAGGAGAGGGTGTATCAATTACCATGAATTCTGTCTTAATCTTCTTAGTGCCAGCTTGTACTTCCAAGTTGGTTGCGCCTAGTGGCCATGTCGGCGTTCCATTAAAGCCGACCATCGGGCATTTGATTGCTCCAAGTCATCGGGATGAAGGCCCAGCTCTTTGTAACATCTAACATACATGATGTCGCAAGAGCTGCCTTGATCAATCAGGATGCGTTTCACTTGGCACTCCCCAACCTGGAGGGATACTACCAAGGCATCATTATGTGGATGCTGGACCATCTCTAGGTCGGCTTCAGTAAAGGCTATCGTCGGTCCCTGGCATTCTTCAGGCCGAGGTCTTTTATGTCCAACCTGGTTCACGTGCTGTAGGTGTTTTACCTTCGGGGTCTCCCCTTATATGTCGTTTTCGTTCACCTTTGAGTGAATTACGTTAACCACCCGCGGTCCTCCTGCGGGTGGTTGCTGTGCTGGGGGAGGCGGAGCTGCTGGTTCTTGAGGCAGTCTTGCCTGTTCTTCTCTAGTCCTGGCCTCATCAACAAGGTCTCTCAGATGTCCTTGCCTTACCAAGTCTTCTAAGTGTGCTTTTAGGGCTCTACAGCCCTGAGTTGTGTGCCCTTCTTCATTGTGGTAAGCACAACGCCTACCGACGTTTCTTCCCATGAATTCCCCTGGTGTTCTTGTCGGTCCTCTAAAATAGGGTTGGTTTCGTATTTGATCCAAGACTTTGTGGATCGGGACTCGGAATATAGTCATTATTGCCTGTTTAGCCTTCAATTCCGTTTCTTGTTTGGTCGGTCCGTTGTTACCTCGGCTTCGCTTCGGCGAGCCGTTTTCTTTCTCCTGCTTTGTTTCTTTATTTCCCGACGCATCCTTCTCTGCTCTGGCGTACTTCTCGATTCTCGCCATGAGTTCTTCCATGCTTTTTGGCAATGTCTTTGCCAAAGATTTCCGTAGTGGGCAGTCATCTTTCAGGCCATTTTTGAAGGACACGACCGCCACCTCTTGGTTGCAATCAAGTATTCGATTGAACACCTCATAGTACCTTTTTGCGTAGGCCCTAAGGCCTTCATCCTTGGTGATTTTTAAAGCCATCAGTGCGTCGACCCTCAAGGGTTGTAGTTTATTTGTCACAAACCTGGCCACGAACATCTCGGCCAGGCCTTCCCAAGTCTTTACGCTTCCCTTCGGTAGTTTATGGAACCAATCTGATGCAATTTCCCCGAAGAATGAGGGGAATACTTTGCAGAGCAACGGCTCGTTCCCACTATATAACGCCATTGAATTCAGGTATAGTCCAACGTGAAAGTTGGGATCTGACTTACCATCATATATTTGGAACCTCGGCATACTGAATCTCTTTGGTGCTTCAAATTTGTCCAGTTCCACCGAGAATGGTGTCTTCGGCTTAACCGGGGAAGTTACCTCGGCTTCAGCATTTTATTGTTTCCTCTTGAGGTAATCTCTCAAGTCTTCTTTACTCCTCCCTGGCGCTCGGCTATCTTTGGACTTCAATCTTTTCGGCACACTACTTTCAGCCTCGTGGTGGGCTCGTTTTGATCTCTCTCCATGTGTTGTGTCAAAGCAAAGCGCCTGTCCTTGAACATGCCGATGTTCTTTGGGTTCTGGGTCCTTCGTGTGATACGTTCTTCGGGACTCCTCTCGTCTCGGCTTCTCTCGTCCGACTTTCCTGGAAGGTCGGTGAGAGTGCCTTCCGCTCCTGGTGTGCTGAGGGACTTCGGGGATTGTTTTTCTTCCTCTCTTCTGAGTATTAGTTGCTGGCATCGGCAAATCCTGCAGCGAGTATGGTGGCTGCATAACGTTGTTTTGCATCATGAAGTTGACGACCGACTGTAGGTCTACCAACTTGTTTGCCAATTCTTTTACTTCCTCATCCCTCCATCGGCACCTATCCCTCCATACCTAAAAGTTATCTTCGTTATAGTACTTGCCTTGGTCAGTCTTCTTGTAACGCCCTCAAAATAATAACATTAACCCATCAATATAGACATGCATCGATATATAAAAGTTCCACATTCTTCTATTCATCAGAGTTTCATTACAAAAAGTATTACATGTTAACGACAAAAGCAAATGCCCTAAAGGCTTACAGCTTTCCAAGTTAACACTTGGTTACAACAAAAGAGTACTAACTCATTTACACATTAAGCCCTTGGCTTGAATTTACATGTAATACATCAAAAATAAAACGACAAAACGTGTCCGCCTCTAGCCTCCCAAGCTACGTCCTGAATGAGATGCACCCGTGTCAATCAACACACTAGCAACCGAGTTGCAAAACAGAAAAGTACCTCTCACTACTGATGGAGCCGGTACTAAATCC